CGCCGAGATCCAAATTGGGAATGATATAACCAACATTGAAGCAGTGCGAGCCCATCTCAAATCGCCATTCGAGCGCAATGTAATCACCAACTGGAATCATCAAGAGCACATCTTTGACTACATCTTCAGCAAAATGGGCTTTGATGGTGAGACGAGCATCGGCTATCCCATTGTCTTAACCGAAGCGCTAGCCAATCCCAATCCAAGTCGCCGCCAAATGAGCGAGCTGCTCTTCGAGTGCTACAGCGTGCCGGCGGTCTCATATGGCATCGATGCACTCTACAGCTGGCACCACCACCAACAGCAACATAAGAATGTTGTGGATGCACTTATTATATCCTTTGGATATAGCACGACACACGTGATTCCCGTGCTGGGAGGCAAGATGCAGCTGCAGCACGTTCGTCGCCTTAACGTGGGCGGATTCCACATAAATAATTATTTGTTTCGGCTGATGCAAATGAAGTACCCAGTGCACCTGAATGCCATCTCGAGTCGCATCGAGAAACTCGTCCACGAGCACTGCCACATTGCGCAGGACTACAAAGAGGAGCTGATGAAGTGGGCGCAATTAGATTACTATGAGGCGCACGTTATGAAGATTCAATTGCCCTACAACCAAGTCACGGCGACCAATGCACTGCTCACAGCAGAGCAGAAGCAGGAGAAGCGCCGCGAGCTAGCGCTGCGACTGTTGGACATTAAGAATCGTCGGGAGCGTGAGAAGCTGCAGGAGGATGAGGATTACCTGCAGGTGCTACGCAAGCTAAGGCAGCTCTACGAGCAACAGAAACTGCAGAAGTTTGAACGGGCACTGCAGCAGCAGCAAATCGCCAATCTGGAGGAGCTGGACAAGCTGTTGGGCACGATAACAGCGCGCATTAAACGTGTCAAGGAACGAGCCACTGCCCAACCGAAGCCAAGTAAGCAGCAAGATAAGCTGGACAAGCTGCCAAAGCCGCCAGAGGGCGTGCCGCAAGCGCAGTGGCTGGCGGATCTGCGGGAAAAGCGAGATCAGTTGCAGCAACGTAAGCAGGCACGACATCAGCAGCGACAGGAGCAGGCCAAGCGGCACACGCATGCTGCGCAGGAACGCATGAGGATTATCTCGACGCTGGCTCGCAGCGAGAAACGGCGCAAGGCAAACGGCGGGGATGAGGAGGACGATGGCTTCGGCATGAATGACAACGACTGGGATGTGTACAAACGAATCAATCGCTACAACGACGACAGCGACTCGGATGCAGAGAATGAACAGATGCTCGAGTACGAGAAGATCTTGCAGCATTACGACGCCAACTTCGACGATGGCAGCAACAATGCTGCCATGCAGGCCCTGATTGCAGCCGAGAACTATCAGCTCCATTTCGGAGTTGAAGCTATCCGGGTGCCAGAGATTCTCTTTCAGCCGAGCATGATTGGATGCACGGAGGCTGGCCTCGCCGAGCTGATTGCCTTTGTGCTGAAGCTCTTCACGGGCGAGGAGCAGCAACGCCTGGTTGATCACGTCTACCTAACGGGCAGCTGCGCCCAGTTTCGTGGATTAAAGGAACGATTGGCTAAGGAATTGCTCGAGCTGCGTCCCTTTCAATCTAGCTTTGCCATCTATGAGTCTAATGAGCCCATGTTAGGCGCCTGGTTGGGCGCCTGCCTCCAGGCGAACGGCAAGAGATTTAGTGAGACTTTGACCACTCGACAGCTTTACCAGGAGCACGGCGGCGAGTACTTTAAGGAGCACAGTGCGAGCAATCTCTTCTATCCTACACCAAAAGATTAAATTTTATTATTTAAGACGTCCAAGTAAATGACATTTAATAACTAAAATAGTAGCTCAGTTACTTCGTTTCCGAACAACAAATTCCAGGACTTGGGCACAGTTAGCTTAAAGCTGCCGTCGCCGCCATCACGCAACTGCAGAAAGTCCTCACAAAGCTCATTCAGTTCGCGAACAATCAGCGACGCGTCAGTGGAGTTGTCGCCTTCCAGAAGATAGCGGAAGAGCAGCATGACTGGCACCTGTTTCTCCTCAAATGCCCGGAATAACTGCAGGCCATTGCCACCGCCAAAGACGTGCTCGCCGGTGTGCTCCTTCCACTTCACCAGCGATGTGCTTCCCTCCAGCTGTGCGGTGTGGGCGGCCTTAAAGTTGTCACTGGCACGGTAGGCCCAAGGCGACTCATCAATAAAGCGTCGCTCGAAGCCAAAGCTTCCACTCAATATCACAACACGACGCGCTGCTTGAAGCATTTCCACTAAATTGGTTTGGAAATTTTTAGTGTGTCGCGCAATGAGCGGTGTGCGAAATTGTATGACCAGTAGCTTATCTTCGGCAGATTCATACAGCTCACAGGATGACACCAGCTCATTTGGTTCATGCTGGTATGCGGATGGCCCATAGACCGGGATCAAAGCTGAATGAGACAGGTTTCCTATACGCTTTAGCTTTTTCGATGCAATCAACAGGTCGCAGGCTAATTGGGCTGCGTTGCCCACACAGATGCTGGGTATGATCACGGTGTAATTGGCCACGTCTAACGATTTGGCTTTGTTTTTAAGATACAGCATATTGCTGAAGTTGATTTGTTCCGTTTGATCCATAATATTGAAATTCAACTAAAATATGAAAGTAATGTTGCTGTGTTGTGAAACGACAGAATATGCCGTCAAATATCGATAGGTTTCTTAACTATCGCAATCAGAGCAGCCCTGATTGTTTGCTATTTGTGTTTCTTTTTTGTGCAAATGCCCGGCTCTTGAAGACTTAGCGGATGAAAACATGTCCAACTCGGTTAATATATCCGTAGAGACGACGTGCGAGAACCAAATACGAGAGATCACTTACGATGGCGTTGAGATGTACCAAGCGTGAGCTACTGAAAGAAACAAAATCGCATATATTTTTTTCTCAACAAGTTGCTTCATAGGCCGCCGACGCTTTCAGAGAGTCTTGCAAAGTGCGCGGCACGCATAGACTTCAGCAAAACGTCGTTGGATGATCTAAAGAAAGAGGAGAAGTCAGCTGCTGCGGCAACAGACGATGATAAGGATGCCAATCAATTTCAGGAAAGCCTCTGGCCCTGGGATTCAGTGCGCAACAAGCTGAAGGATGCGTATACTGAAATCTGTGTGCTATCCGATGTAATATCAATTGCCAAGGATAAGCGTTACCTAGTACTGGATCCACTGCTGGAGAATGGTGATGATACAAAGCCCATTGTGCAAGTGTACAGTCGGAAAAAGGCCCTTTCGCAGGCTGCTCAGGTGCTGTTGAGCGGGGCCGAGCGGCTACGCAATGCCCACAGTGAGCAGCGTAGTCGCAACGTATCCGACTTTCACATTGAGCTACTGCGTCTGCGACAAAACTGGCGCTTGAAGAAGGTCTCCAATGGTGCGATCATTGGCGATCTAAGCTATCGCACAGCGGGCTCCAAATTCGGCATGAGCGGCACTTTTGAGGTGACCAAAGCGGAGGAAGTTCTGGACGACGAGGGTGCCGGTAGCAATACAAATGCTTCCTCCGGCACGAGCAGCAGCACAACCAACAATGGAATGCAGCTGAAGGCAAGCTCGGCGTTGCGCGTAATTGTGCCCGCCGAGCTGCAGGGCGTGGCATACATTAAGGTCATCACACAAAAGGATCAGGAAGATCTTTGCACGGCACAGGTAAGTAGTACTTACTTTTGTCCAATATAATACTTACCCCGAACATATATCCCAGGTAAATCTAATGGGCCATGGACCCAATATAACTGCCCAGGTGGGAGTTTGGCAAAAAACACTGGAGTTCGCACAAAATGTGCTGTTTTGCAAGGAACTGTTTGCCCAGCTAGCGCGCGAGGCAATTCAGCTGCAGGCGCCCATACCCCATGTAGTCATTGGCAATCAGATTCGAGCCACATTGCTGCCCAATATTCAATTAATCATCTCACTATGCCACTCGACTAGCTTCGACTCGAACCAGCCGGCGCCAATTAACGATCACGATCATGTGTTGGAGCACTCGCTGCATCAGCTCTTGCGGGAGGTGCACTTTAAGAACTCGCATCATCCATTTCCACATCCGGCCAGCGCACCGTTGGGACCCAGCAAGAAGCGCATGATTGCGGGGCCAACAGCAGCGGATCGGGAATCACTATTGGAAATGACCAAGACGCAGACAATATTAGAGCAAATTATTGCACAGGCGCAGCACATCTTCATGCGCAAGCGCACTCAATATGTACTGGATACGCTGGCACGCGACGTGAAGGATCCGCAAATCGTCTCGCATTGGAATGCCATGAACAGCCCGACAATGTCCTGCGTCAAGATCAACATTGTGACACATGGCTACGATGCCATCGGGCGCACTTCGCTGGTCATACACGTGAAGGAGCGTTCGCTTAAGTGCATTTGCCGTGATGGGCGCGTCATGAAACTGTCGTATGAGCCACAAGAGCTGCGAGATCTCATACTCTGCCAGATTAATTCGCATCAGATCAGCTGCCTGGTGAGCTTGGCCCGCTACATGGCCTGGACAGTGCTCTCAAATAGCAATCACTTGGGCATTGGCAAAGTGGAACCGCTTGGCAATGCGAGTTCTTGTTTGCTGGGCTCGCCCAACAGCGATCGCATGATTGCCGTTCAGATACGCTGCGATCCGCAAATCGATGTCAAGGTCTACATAGCGCGCAGTCCCCGCCAAGACTTCTTTCCCAGTCCCCTGGTGCCGGAGAAGTTCTGGGAGAATCTGGGTGGCAATTTCAAAGAAGTAAGTGAGTGACTTACTGAATTTATGAATGTACTAACATCGTCCCATTACAGGTGCGTTTTGACAAAATCGAAGGAAAGAGTTTTCTGAATAAAATGGAATTCCTGATGGCATCGCTGACCAGCAACACAACATGAAAAGGCGCAGATATTAGTTATCTTATATATTATTTATAATTACTAAAGAAGTTATTTAAGTAAGCTACAGTATGTACAAGTAGTCCAGGCTACTCTCGATTAAAGAACACAGCTCAGCGCTGTATGTTATAAACCGCAAAGCTGTTCAGTGGTTGCGTCTGCTGCTGCTGCTGTTGGTGCTGCAGCTGTGGCTGCGGCTGCGGCTGCAGCATGCTAAATGTGTCCTCTAGGCTAATAACATTGGCGCGATTTGTGCTCTGTGAAATGAACGTATCAGATCTGTAATTTGTCTAAGGGAACATCAACTCACCCATCTCTCGAGATCGCAAAAGCTAATGTCGTATTGCTGATTAGTCGCAGTGAGAAGTGGGCTCAGCATCGATGCCGGCCTTGCCACACGCAAGTACAAGCCACGGTTCGTGGAGAAGAGCACCGGGACACGTCTGGCTGGCGCTGAGCCGGCAATGAAGCCGGCGCCTGTCACTTGTCGATAGGTTAGGCAATTGGGCAGCGCTGTCGTGGACTGGGCATCTGAGTGGACGTCTGGAGCGGCAGCGGCAGCCACGTTGCGGGCACATCCCAGGCAACTGTAAAAACAGGACGCCACTTTGTCGCATTGACTTCGTCCCAAGGGATAGCAGACGATATGCGCTCAATTGTTTGCCTACTCGATATAAAAATGCATATTTATTGATTTTACTGACACGCAGCCGACGTTATCAGCACCAAGTCTGCAAGGATAGTGGTTAACCAATGCAATTAACTCCCTAGCAGATTTGTGTGGGCCAGCTAGCACTCGCTCGGTTGCCACGGCAATCGACTCACACTCAAATTGTAATGCTCACACCAGAATTGGGAACTGAGCTATGAACCAGTTCAAGGTTTCATGTGGAAGCAGTGAGGACTAACGGTATTGCGTGGCCCATCTATCACTCACTGTTTGTTAGTAGGCAGGCAATTTAAAATGTTATATGTGCATATATACACATGTATATAAACGTTACAATATAACAAATTCTGCATGACTGAATGATTAGCAGTAAATGGATTATCTATCGTTCATGAACGACTGAGAACATCCATAGCTCCGTTTTGCCTGAGTAAATCATTCAAATAGTATTAATTTCAATGAACCGTTAAATTTAACTAGTTCTGAACATTGCGACGCAGCTCTGCTCCATATATATGTAAATACTTAATCGGCTTGTGCGTGTCCATGATAATTTCGTCTCTCCCCATATAAATTTAGCGCGCTTTCTATACAATATTATGAATCCAAACAGCGCAACAATTAAGAGATCATTTCATACTGATGAGATATTACCGGCTGGGATTGGTAATATCTCATCAGTATGAAATGATCTCTTAATTGTTCCATAATTAATCTGTACCATATTTTCTTTAAGCGACACTGTAGGGATTGAGGTATGCACATACATATGTACGTGTTAGTAATATTCCATATTTGAAACATATTTTATATATCAAATAATTGAAAAATATATTCAAACGGCATACATTGTATATATTATGAAAAAAATCTAAATAAATGGACGGCTAAAAAGTATAAAATGTATAAAGTCTAAAGTATAAAGAATAAGTAAAATTAAAACAGAATTTAATTGTTTGTATCTCCTACATAATCAGACTGAATAAAATGTATATAAATATGAATAAATATTAATTCATGATAAAAAAGCCAAAAAAAAAAATAATAAAAAAAATGGAAAATTTTTTTTATTTTTTTAGTTATAAACATTATGTTTACTCAGGAACTAAATTTGCATTTTATTAAATTTCGAAGCATTATAAATGTAAGTTTTTAAATTTTAAACAAACTGAGTTTAAATATCTTGAATTATTTATTTCATGTAAATAAAAAAATATATATCAAATTAAATATTAAAATAAAAACATGAAAACTTTATACATATGGGCAATTCTCTAGTGGCGAATGTGTCATTCGTACGTATTTGAGTTTAAAAAAACGAATGCCAAAACATTTTTTTATTTTGACGAATAGTGAATCTTTTAGTACCTGATTTTAGGCAAAAAACCAAGAGGTTCGCAAGCTACAAAAAACGTAAGTCGCGTTTTAAATGAACAGTTCAACCTGACAACAGTTCGCAAAACCTTAATTTATTACGAATAATTTTAAATTATTAGAAATTGGCACATCTTTACAATGTTTTTTATTTGATTCAAAAATATTTTGTAGTTTATTTTTTATTTTTGAGTTTTAATCAGGGTCGACGGTGACGTGTCGAATGAGACAGTTTTTCCACCATATGTATTTTTTTATTTTTATTTTTGTTATTTTTTAGTAAGTGTACATAAATAAAAGCTTTAGAACTGATTTTCAATATATTCAATTTATTAATAAAAATAAAATAGAGAAAATTCGAAGCATCATATTTCATTGCATAGTGTCTCAATATTTAAATTTGATGTGTTAGCAGAACATGCTTTCATTGACTTTGAATGTTTTGGCTGTGGTTGACCTCTCTGGAGAAACGCCGATATGATAATAGCACATCATATTCTTTGTATTAACTATCTAATGATCTTATTTAAAATGATTTATTAATATTTTATGCAATCATTCGAATTTTCTAGTAAGAATTAGAATTTTCTAGTAAGAATCTGATTGATGTAGATTATATATTTTAAAATAAAATTACATTTATAACTTTGAGATTTTTTAAATTGGAAATAAAAATACTTGAAATATACATAGCGACTGCGCTTAGACTGAAAACTATTATTGCATAAACTTCGATTTTCATAGATAGCTTCAATGTCAATGCATAAAACTTTCATAAGGAAATATGGGCAATAGCATAGAATATATATATCCAACACAAATATCTACTTCATAAAAGTGGTAACAAGTAAGAAAGCTCGAGACTGATCGACTACGAAATCCGATGAACCCGTAGAAGAATGGGTATTTCAATTCTTCGCATCTTTCTGCTTACAAAAAACACACACACATAGGCATGCATGCATGATCGTAAGTAATTGAAATACGCCTATAATACAAATTGAAGGTTGAGGGGGTAGGGGTAAATTCCAACAAAAATCGAAATTCTATAAAATCCATATGCATATGTATGACTCATCATTTAAAAATTTGAAAAATCTAGCTTTAAAGGTGTAGGAAATATGATTAAATAACTAATTTTCGATCAGGGTTTTAATCGATAACAAAATATCTGAGAGAAAAACTTGATATGCGTGTGATATACACGGATCTAAGAAAAAATTTCAAGTGTCTAGCTCATATATCTTCTGAGACCGATACGTTCATATATGCGGACGGACGGCCAGACGGTCAGGACTAAATCGACTCATCTCGTCGGCCAGATTAAGAATACTTTGAGGGGTCTGCCACACCTCCTTCTGCCTGTTGCATACTTTTAACAAAACCATTATACCCTGATTTCCCATTGAAAATGAGTTCAAGGTATAACGATGAGGGGAAATTAAGATTTTGTCTTCTATACGTGGCTAAAACGATATTTGAAATCGATCGGACTGGGGTCTGCCAGGCCTTGTTCACCAAATAGGCTCTCACAATAATATAGTTGGATAAATAATAGAATTGGTAGTCAAGTCAGATATTATAGTCGGTGTAAATTTAAATTATTTGAATGAAAATAAACACTCATCTTTACTTTTTACAAATATTGTTTTAAAACTTTATTTCATTTTATATTATATTGTTTTTTCTTTTTTTTTTTTTTTTTTTCTTTTCGTGTTGTGTACTTGTAAATTGTATAATTAACACTAAAATACTTATTTAAACATTATTTTTCTGTTATATGCAATCGAGTTTTTTTTCTGGGATTTTTGCAGCTCTTGCCTTGTTGCTATTTTATAATATATATATATTTGTTGCTGTTTTGTTTACTAATTATATATTCATATAGACCCAGCATATTGAAACGCTTAAAATTAAAGCGTTTGCAGTTAATAAATTTAACTTAGATGCTATTTAAGTGTTGCTGTTCCATCAATTCAATGATAATTCAATATTATCAATATATATAATTCATGATCAATATATATATATATATTTATATATATATATATATATATATATATATATATATATATATATATCTTTCAAATTCCGACACATTAAACATATACATACAATATTTAAAATAGAATTTGTCGAACTCCTGTTTTATAATATTATTTATGAAATTGATTTTGGGATTTGTGTTTATAATGCAAAGAATTTCATTTTGATTCGTTTTTGTTACTTTCTTTTTAGTTTAGTTTATTTAATATTTTACGCTTATGAACTAGGGTTTAACTCTAAATTCTACACTTTTCTTGGGTTTTCCATATGCTTCTGCTTATAAATGTGCATGACATATTTATATATATATAAATATATAAATACTTTATGCAGCCAACATTAACTAACTTTTGTACAGCTTTAATTCTTGTATATGATATTTTGCAAGTAAACTTTTTATTTAAACGTTAGGTTCGCTACATTTATGTTGCCTGTTGCCTTTAAGTAATTTTAATCAATTAATTATTATATATATTATGTATATATATATATATATATATATATTTCTTTTTCGCTGCCTTAATGCCACAATGTCGACATCGTTGAATTTTTTGTTTTTCTTTTGCCTTTTTTAGAAATCGAAACCAATCGAAAAAGTAACCGAAAATATTAGAAATATTGCTCGATTCGCCAGAATTGGCAGTTAAAGGAACTTAATAATATACAATAAAATGACATAATTTAATTTACAGACTGAAGTTTGGCATGGTTAAAGGGGCTTATGGAGAAACTCTTAAAGCAAATTAGAAACCAAAAGGAAATGGAAATTAAAATTGACGACGACGACGACGACAAAGTATGAACTTTACAATTTACAAAATACAGAGAACAAAACACAGAACAAATAAAATCGTGCATTGTGAGAAAAGCACACACACATAGACACATACATACAAATTTGTGTTTATGTGTGTTGAAGGCTCTGCATATCATATCTAATAATGCTAACTATGCTCCTTAATATATTATAAATATTTATATATGTATATATTTTTTTTTTTTGCTACTTCAAATTTGAAGCATTTTCTATTTTTCGTTTTTTTTTTTTCTTTATGATGCGGCTTTAAGACGCGTTTAACAAAAATCTTGTTTGCCATCTCAATTTCTACAATACAATATTATTAAATATTTATATACTTAGTTTATGTATGTATGTATATACATATACATATATATATATATATATATATGTATATATAAGTATATTTAAAAAATCACACAAACAGAAAATGTACATTGATGGTGTAGCTGTTAATATTTCATAATTTCTTTTTTATTTGCATTTTTTTGTAATTTTTTTAATTTTTTTAATTTTTTTTTTTTATTTACTTTTGTTAATATTGCAAAGCGCAAGTAAAATTGTTAAATCGCTAAAAATTAGTAGACAGATCGTGTGTGTGAGTTTGAGTGTGATTGTATATGAGGGGCTACAGTTTTGACTTGTTGCAACTAAACTAATCAGAAGACTTGCTAAATACATTGTAGTTCTTGGATTTAACATTACAATTTAAGTATATTTGCTTTTTGCTGCTGTTGTTTTTGTGGATTTCCGTACTTTAATTTCTTGCCTACCTCTGGCTCTCACCAGGCCCAGCTGTTATCAACGTTGCCAGCTGGACGCATTTGTTTACCGTTTCGAACCGGTTCAACTAGCATTTAAATTTGAATGTGAGTTGGAATATGGTATTTTTAAATTGTTCTTTTTGTTTTGATTCGCTTATTATTAGCCGTTCGGTTTACAATTTTACATATTTGCCTTTTTTTTTCTGAATTTTTTTCGTTCGATTTTTCTTTTTCTAAACTATTACATATAATAATTATTTTAATTTACTTTACTTTATGCTTATGTACCAAGGATTTTCACTACCGTGTGTTTAGAAATTGAGTTCTTTTGCAAAATGAGCGCCACTGGGCACAGTCGGGTTGCCAGATTGGTTGTTGTTGTTGTTGCTGTGGGTGTTGTTGCTGCTGCTGCTGGCGCCGCTTAGCAAATTGGAGGCAGCTGCACCAAGCGCCGCAGCCGCTATGGACGCAGCCGTTGAGCTGCTTGCTGCGCCTCCTCCAGTTCCTCCGTTGCTGTTTGATGCGGCTGCAGCAACGACAGCTGCCACTGCAGCTGCCACATTATTGAGATGTTGCTGATGCTGCTGCTGTTGGTGATGGTGCTGGTGATGATGTTGTTATGGCATAAAGTAGTCCGGATGATCTGTGTCTTTCTCGAATCGCTTGGCCTCCTCGTGCATGCTCTCTTTGATCTTTAGAATGGCCGCCGATTCGGTTTGATCGTTTTCGCCCGGTCCACCAAAGCCGCCCAAGTTATAATCGCCCATGCCGCTTCCGGAGTCTTCGCGCGGCGTACCCGGACCGCCGTTGGCTGGAGAGTTCTTCATGCCATCCAAGCCGGTGCCATCAGGTCCGCCGCCGCCGCCATTAAGTACGGGGCCCATGGAGTTGGGACCGCCACCCATGGGTCCCATGCCACCTGGTCCGCCGCCGCCGCCGCCACCATCAGGGCCTCCGCCCATAGGGAATTCTGGTTTCATTAATGAGTACATGCTATCGCCAGGTCCGCCGACAGGGCCGCCTTGCGTGTTATCTTGCGGCGAGGGCATGATGGGCGTGCCGGGACCAGGCGGGCCGTTCGAGCCGGGTCCGGGTCCGTAATTGCCCGGCGACGATGAAGAGTATGCATTCATGGGTGCTGACGCATTGGGCTGCCATTGAGGCGGTCGTCCGCCGCCGCCGCCCATTCCCATTGGTGGCATGCCGCCGGGTCCGCCTGGCGCCGGGCCTCGCATACCGCCCGGTCCACCGTATCCCATGGGTCCCATGCCGGGGCCACGAGGCGGATTCATGCGCGGATTCATTGGACCCATGCCGCCTCCCGGTCCCGGCCGCGTGGGATCCATGCTATTGGGCATCATGGGCTGTCCGGGTGGGCCGTTGAATTCATTGCCCATGCCCTGCATACGCACGCCCGGTCGTGGTCCGCCTGGATACCGCGGTCCGCCCATAAACGGAGGCTGACCTGGCATCATCTGCGAAGGCGGCGGCTGTGGACTTGAGGCATGCGTTGGCGGCGACGGCCGCATTGTCGTATTAGGGAAAAAGTTGGGACCCATCGGTCCGCCGGGTCCCATTGGTCCGCCATCACCGCCCGGCGGCATCTGGCCGAGTGGACTGGGTGCTGGGCCACCGGCATTGTGAGGTCCACCAGGACCGATGCCATTCACACCATAGCCGGAGCTAACAAAGCCATAGTCATGGAAGGCTTTCGCCTCCGAGCTGTGATCGCATTGATCGCGGCGCTCCGGCGCCGCACAGTACAGATCCCAGAAAACACACCACCAGGTGTGCAGAAATCCCGGTGGTTCACCCAGTGTTATGTTCTTCTCCCATCGGATCTCCGAGAGAAATGTCTGTGCCGCTTTTTGGGCGCCCACGTGCAGCAGATATTCGTACACATAGAGGGCCAATTTCTCTCTGGCCTGCGCATCAGACGGCACGGCGGATGTCTTCGATTTACCGTACATTCTGTTATTCTGTTTTGTTGTTGTTGTTCTTGAACTTTTGTTGCTGTTGTTGTTTTTGTTGTGATGTAAAATAACTCTCTTTCGAGTTTGTTCTACTCCTATCAATGTTGTTGTCGTTCGCTATTGTGCTCCAACTTCCACTTCCACTTCCACTTTATTTAAATTTTGTTTTACTTAGCGTTACTTTTTTGTGAGAGGCTCCTCTGCTGCTTTCAACGGCTGTTGCGCGCTCGTTTCGGTTGCTTTCGCTGCTATTCTATGCTCTTCTTATTTTGCTTATGCCGTGTTGTTGCTGTTTCTGTTCCTATAGTGTGTTGTTGTTGTTGTTGTTATTTTATAATTGGCGCTCAGATCTCGCGCTGCTCACGCAGCCGTTCTCTGCCGCTCTATTGCTTCCACCATTTTTTTATTTTTCTTTATATTTTATTGTTTTTAACGTTTGTTCGAAAGCAGCAGAAATTTAAAAATCACTTTGTGCCTTCTACTTTGGGTTTTACAATAAACTTTTAGCGCGCTACCTTGAATTGCTGCCTCTGCTTGCTGTCGCCACTTCTTCGTTTTACCGTTTATGTTTTCTTTATTTTTTCAGGTATTTTGCCTGATTGTTGCTTCTTCTTCTTGCACAACCACTGAAAGCAGAAAAAAAAATATATAAGCAAAGAGAGCCAAATGAGCGAGTGTGCGAGTATGTGTGTATGGTGTGTTTGCAAAATCTGTATGTGTGAGTGAGAGTACGGCTGCGGCTTGAGCGCGCGTGTGAGAGCGAGGGAGCGCGCGCATTGTCGACAAAACGGCACAAGTGCTACAGTGTTAGCTAAAAAGTGTGTTACACGTGCCAACTGTTAACAGTGCAATAACTGGGGTTTCTATTTCTCAATTAATTTAAATATTGTTAAGTATTGAAATAAAGTCAACCAATGTATTCTATCCAAGCATTTATGTAGTTCGTGACTTTTTAGATTGCTGGTCTTGCTGTGCACTAACTTATTGCACAGACTTTCAATGCGTCGTTCACTCATGTGTGTTCCCCTCTATTTGCTCACCAGGTGAGTGAGTGAGTGATGCTCGGTTTTGTAGGTTGAAAAAGGCAAGGAACAGAACAGCTAGCTGGGCAGCGTAATCTGCTTCTGTTGCCGCGCGCTGACTGTCAAATGCTTATATTCAAATCAAATTTCGTGCACTGTTCTGTTCTGTTCGGTACAGTGGTCGCACACTGACACAACAAGCGAGCGTGTTGATAAGACCCTCGGAAACGGGGGCACGGGGGCACGGGGACAGGTGTGTTGCGATTTTACAACTGGGTAGGACAGTCAACATAGATATATAACAATTCGTCAAAGCAGCGATTTGATAGCTAAGAGCTTATATCTATGAATTGAATGTAATTTCGAATGAATAGAGATTTATTTAACACCTACCCAATAATTTATTGTAGACTGTATTAAAATATATGGGACAGTTATTTATCTGAGTAAATTGATGTATTAACATCAGATTTGTACTCTTTTTTACCTTAGCCCATTCAGTTTTAAGAATTTTCAGTTCTCTAGAATTGTAACTTTCTATCTATTGTAATAAATGGAAACTAATGTAATATATGGGTATGTCATATATTAATATTAAACAATTTCTATTCCAGTTTAATATCTATAAATATAATTAATTACAAATCAAATTATATATAGATCAGATTCTACAACAGAATACATTAATATATGTATATATTTTATATATTCTGTGTGGTGTACGCATTTTGTTAATGCAACAAATGATTCCAATTGGGGAAAACTGAACATTTTGAAAAATTGTATATGCTCATACATATATTATACTGCATTTTAAGATAACATGAATTAACTTTTAAATATCGTTCTACACCGTTCAATTGATCAGATTGTTATAAAAAAAAGTTACATTAAACAACACGTTCTTATATTATAACAATAGAAATACAAGGCAAACCATTAACTAGAATATCTAATTATTGCATTATTTAGGAAATGAAATGAATTTAATTAAACTCATGAAAATGTTTTCTTTTCAAATCTGAAATCTCACTGTACACGATTTCTTTTTGGACAGCATTGCTAATTGACGCACTGCACAGGTAAAAGATACTTTCTTGACTTGTGTTGTTGCACTGTCAACTCTTTGGTGCCTATTCAAATTCGACTACATCACGGTTCGGTTGGCAGCTTCAATTTTTGTTTTGCCTTTGCCACTTTCTGGGTTTCTTCTAGCCCAATCTCGATGTTGTTATTGCTCTTGTTGTTGTTGTTGTTGTTAATCAACAACAGCATCACAGCGTGCTGGGCTTCTTTTACCAGGGGGCTACAAAATACCGGTATACTGTAGTAAGGCATGTATGTATTTAGTTGTGTGGCTGTGTATGTAGTACACTACATACGTTGCGATACTATTCGATACTATTGTTGCTGCTGTTCGCTAGACAAAATCAACAACAACAGAAACAACAATATCTTAGTTTGAAGACGTCATCATTTTTTGTACGCGGGATTTCTTCTCACACGTTCTACATTGAACTATACACACACATACGCAGGACCACTATAATTTATTTCCACTGTACTAAATTTGGTTGTTGTTACTGCTGCATACGCACCTTGTATAATCAAACTATGTGTATATTGTATTATATAGATGAGCTGCTTTTTGTTTTTTGTTGGTTGTCAAAATGTTTCTGTTGTAGTGCTCGCTGCTATTTGCAAATTTAATCATAAAAACAAGAAAGAGCAAGCAAGCGCATGGTAGAGACAGAAATGGAGGATGAAGAGAACAAAATACGGAATTTTATTACAATTTCATTGATTTTTCGTATTCTTCGTCCTCTCATATGGTTTTGCACAACATACATACATATAACTGTTTATTATTAAACCGCGCGCCTGTCGACGTTTTGCACCAATTCTCAAAATTGCGATTGTACTTGCAATTGTATTAGTATTTGTGTTTGTGTGTATATGTGTGTGTTTTTAATTTCTTTTCTAAACACACTTTTCGCCTTGCTTATTGTTGTTGCTGTAAATTTTGCAAGTTTCTCTTTACACAATTTTCATTCGCACTGCGCTTTGTCCATGTATTCGTCGTCGTTGTCGACGATTGCTTTTACTGCCTTCACTGCTGCTGCTGCTACTACTGCTTCTTCTTCTTTCACTAAAAATCGGCTCTTTTTTGCCTGTACGACGAAATTTTCACGGCGAGTTATTGCGTTGAAATACATTTTTAATGAATTTCATTTCATTGGCAAATACTGCATTTACATTTTCACTTCAATTAATAATTAAGTATTTCGATTTTTACACAGTAAATTATTTGTATAAATATTTTCACTGCTACAAGTTGCGCTGTCGTCGCCGTCGTCGTCTTCTCGTCGTCGCGTTTCAAATAGCGAATTCGGTGGGAAGGAACGAACAAACCAACACTTTTTTCTGCTCATTATTTTGATAAGTGCTTTGCGCGTCGATACGATGGTCATCTCGCTTGCACGCACATTGTTCAAGAAGAGTTGCCAGATAGGCGGATAAAGCTGTTTATAAAAATAAAATCTCTTAAAGCTAATAGTCAATTATAGATAAGTCATTCTTACAAATCCTTCGAATTGGTTTATTTTGATTGTTGGATATACCATGAATATATATATGATGTAAATTTAAATTATTGAGTGCTTTAAACCGGCACTATTTAATCTGGCAGCGCTACAGCTCCGGCATTTTACTCATTTTGTTTTCCCCCCATTCTTTACACGCTCTCTTTCTCTCTCTGTCGCATTTTTTGTGTACATGCATTTGTGTGTATGGGTTGCTACAATTGACTACAAGTGCGTCGATATTGCATTAGCTATGTTGTTTTTAATGCATGAAAATACAAACGGGTGAGTAAAAATTGTATAAGAAAACTTTTAAGTGGTTGCATGTTTAATACAAGATTCCAATAAGAATACAAAATGACGCCTTGGCAAATATTGCCGCCAGGGATGTAAATCTTAATCGGAATATTAAAATATCGACTGATATCGATTAATGTGTAAGGATAATTGTGATATTCTGTTTAGTGAATCAGGTAATAAACTGCTTTTAAACGCGAAATCGTTCAATTCGTGCGTTTCTCTTATTAAAAATTCCAAGTCAAACATGGTGTTTATATTAATGTTACTAATACTTTTACTGATAAGCAACAGCCTCAATTTTACAAGCTTTATGCAATTCAGCTTCTAGAAAAGAGTGAATTATCCGTTGCAAATTTGAAATAAAACTTTCGGCAATGGCAGTTAGTGCGCAAGAACAGTTTGCGTTGCCGCCAAAAAGCTGCTGCTGGTGCTGCTGCTGCTGTCGTCGCTTGGCGTAAACAGAAAACAGTGCAACTGCAACTGTGCGCGACTACAGTTTAAGATTCTGACATTCGTATTAAAGTAATTACTGCATTTAGCTATATATTTCGTGAAATTGTTGTGCTAATGCAGGTTCTGAATGTTCAATAAAAAATATAAAAGTTAAATAAAGCAACGAAAGTGCAAGGATATATTCTGCAATAATAAATACAGTTAAGTTTCGTTATTGCAATTCCAAAGTAAATTCCCAATGCTTTACAAAATTTGGATTAGTTTGTAAGAGATGTAGAGAGCAAGCAAACCATTTCAAAGTAACTTTTGCCAATTCTTGGCATCGAGTACGAGGGTTACCCAAATGAATTAATTATATGCATACATATATGAATACATATCATACATTTATCAAAAATTCCCTCGACGTCATAATATTACAGTCAAATTTCCTATTCAAATATACAGTAGAATCCGATTATATTATCCGACTGTCCCTTAAGCGGAAGGCGCTATAAGCGAAGTCGTTTTAACCGGACTCTACTGTATATGTGTAGGAAACCCTGTTTGAATTCTCCCTTCGACTTTTGTTTTTTCACACATAGTTTTAGCCATCGACCCTTAGGGACCAATTGAATCCACATTCCCTGGGCACTATTTTATAGGGTAGTCGAAAATAGATCAATATATCGATATTTGTGTTATACAAATATATATTTTTGCCTAAATATCGAGTATTTTAGAGATATTTTCGATATATTTGAGTGATCAGTAAACAAAGCGAAAAGTACAAGAATTGAATATGGTGCAAACTAATTATTCTGACTTTAAAAATGGAACATCCAAATGTAATTTGTGCCTTTAAGTAATAATACAAGTGCCTAACACATCAGATATGGCGTCACATGAAAAAAAGAACTATGAAGCTTTTGAGTACCGAATAGCGGTATTTATCATATGAATAAAAAAAATATTTGTTTTCATTATTCTTGTTTTTTGGGACGGATTATAAATTAATTCTTGGAAAAAAAAAAAAAATATTGTTATATCGATATTGTTAGAGTTGAATATAAAGTATCATATTGATATTATCAAAACTTAAAATATCATCGATCCGATATTTTCAAAATATTTGACAACCTTACTTTACCTTACCAACACCACCACAATTCAAACACAATTAAAAAATATTGCACATAATTGAATGTGTTAAAATGTGTTATAAAAATAGTCTTTTGCCGATTTACCAAAACGTTTTGTATGCAATTTTGCGATATATTTAACGAATTTCAATGATGCTTGCACATATGATTGAAATATTCTATAGAATCTGTGCTTAAAAAATTGCCCAAATATGTGCGTTGGTTGTATTTATTTAAATTAGATATACGTTCACGTATGAAATGGAAAGATAAAATTGAGACCACTAAAAAAAAAAAAAAACTTTTTATTTTCTCCTTTTTAATAGATTATATTCAAATATATATGTAAGATTGAGAGCAGAATTCCAAAATATGAATGTATGTTAATTTTAGCCTTTCCTATTTATATATTAGTGTATAGATGTATATTGTGTGTGAGTAGTAAGTTAAACTGGGGGAAAGAACAATACCCTCTTGAGTATAATTGCTACTCTATATTTCTACTTTCAGTATAACAATATCCAAAACAATGCAATTGTAATACCATGTCCTTGTCGAATACCCCTCACGTTATGTCACAATAAGCCCTCTGCAAATGGAATGTCTAATTAGATTTTTGTTTATGGGTTAATTGAAAGCTAAAAGTGTGTGTGAAGCACACAAAGTCTGCTGGCCAATTGATTAGCTGGGAGCGTGGCAGTGCAGCTCTAAATTGCATTTATGGGGTGTTTCAGAAGCTTAATAGCTTCATGTGCGGCACGATTTGGGTGCTACAGCCATACGCGTTCATTGCTTGAAGTGGATATGCATATGCGTATGTATATATATCACGGGCAGTGGCTGCGTCTGGCCCTTTGGGTATTGCCCGATTTGCGAGGAGCATATTTTACGAGTAAGTGCGTCATCGTGGAGCTCCAGTTGCAGCTGCAGCTGCAGCTGGCAGACATCGTCGCCTCTTTGTTGCTTGGTTGCCAGCATTTATGAAGACCTCGCCCCGAAAGGCGGCCGTTTCCGGTTCCGTGTCGGTGTCCGTTTCCCTTTCCGTCGCACTTTCAGGTTTGCTACTCGTAATTCGATTGCCCATCCAACAACGAAAATATGGCAGCTGATTTATGCGCTCTGCCTTGGTCCTCCGACCCACAAAGCCAGTGAGCGTTGCCAGCAATTGCAGCTCGATTCATTTTCTTCTAAAACTCAAGCTTACATGTTTGTATTAGTATGTGTGACTGTGTGTGGGTTAGAGTTTGCTTGCGTGTGTGTGTGTGTGTGTGTGTGTGTGTGTGTGTGTGGGTTAGAGTTTGCTTTGTGTGTGTGTGTGTGTGTGTGTGTGTGTGTGTGTGTGTGTGTGTGTGTGTGTGTGTGTGTGTGTGTGTGTGGTATTTCAACAAATATTCCCTTATGCGGGAATTGAAAAAGTTATGGTTAGAAAGATATCGCTTGGCTAGATTAATATTTTACTGATGTTATTTATTTCATACAAATAAATATATAGAATAAATAAAATAAATTGAATTGAAACAAAAGAATAAGCTGTTCAGAAATTAAAGACCTCAAAAAATACTCATACATACTAATATCATTTATATATACTAGATGTTATACTATCTAAATTATCACAAAGATATTTTGCTTAGAAGTATTACGCTTCTAACTTTTTTTGGCATGAAATATTTAGAATTTTTGCCTTCACATTATTGGCTTAATACATATTTGCGCATGTTATATAAATGCAGATATTACATATTCGATAAATAAAATGCAAATTACTTTTACTCTGCATGCCTAATTATCGTAAAAATTTAAATTTTCATGGGTCGTTTTCCGTTCCATTCCCCGTTTTCCCCCCATTCTCAACTCCCACTTCCAACGACCAATTCTCAACTCCCTGCATCCGTATGTGCCGCTCATCCCTGCTTACCTGAGTTATATGTCGTGGTTTATGGGCTTTGGTATCGCTTAATTAAAACGCCTGACAGAGTTAATTTACTTTAATTTTGACGGCGCTAAAAATGGAGTTAAATATTTCATTAACAGTGTGGTTCGCCGAATACGAACATATACACACCCGAGATGGGATCTTTTGTTCCATGTGGCTTATGAAGAATATGATTCGCTTGCACAATGTCAGCAATAATGAAATTTCATTTAAAGTTATTTTAATAAGCTTCCAGCATCTCTAAATGGAATACTACTTTTACTCATTATCAAAATTATGTTTGATTGGGAAATTTATGCTTGTAAAAGCTAAGCTGTTTACTTGACTGATGCATGAACCAGTTATGTCTCTATTGCAATGAACAAACCCAAGCGAACTACTGATGCTGAGCAATGCATATAAACTCTTAAAGCGTAGCGCCAAAAAGCGAGCTAGCATTTTTCGCTGTGCAAATTTGAAAGTACACGTAATAATAATAATAAAAGTGAGTTGCAATATTATGCATAAATAAATATATACATATATACAAATATACAAAAGTGTGTCTGACTAGGAGATACCCTAACACAATTGACAATTGACCAAAACATTTACTTTTGTGATACTTAACGGATTACAATTTTTCCGCACATTCTGTGCTGTTGAATGTTTGAGTCGCATTGAAAACTATCTTATATAAAGTCTATATCTTTAAAAAAGTTTTTGATATTTAAAGTATCTAAATTATAATCAAAAATTGAAATATATAAAATATACATGAAACTAAGGAAACAATTTGAAGAGTTCAGCTCGCAGGATGCACGAGATATAATGTGGTAATTCAAGTTTGATAATGTTTTAGCAATTACAGTTAATCAGTCGCGGCTCCTTCTGGGGTATACACAAAATTC